TTTCATTTACTTTATTTTTCCTATTTTAATTTGTCAACATACGCCAAAATTTAGGTGCCAGCAGAACTTAAATAAAATGTTCTGCTTCTGCGTGTTATGTGGACCTAACAATGTAAAGTGTGATAAATAAAGAGTTGGGTAAGAGAAAAGGAATCTTGATGTTACGGAGGTTTGGCTTGAGGTGTCTATGTTTTCATTTCCAGTTCTGACGACCCATGTAGACCGAAACCTGCTAGCGTAGTTAGGAGTGCAAGCACCGTCTTGCTGCAAGTGCAGAGTTCGCCAAGCCGAACCAAGACTCCTTCTATAGCTATCCCATTGTACAAACTTATCACTAATGAGCCCGCTCAAAATAATTCTCACATCTTACACGCACAACACAGAGGCCGCACTCCAAAAAATATAAACCACACCTTTGAGTTTTTACCAATTAAGGGTCATTTAGACACCTTGTCTTACTCTCCGGTACAATTAATTTTTTCTCTATGTACAACCACTTCTCGCATGTTTGCAAATGGGTTTGCCACTCTCACTGATACCTAGGATCATCACTCAAAAGACTATTACCTAACTTACAAAAGAGATAGACTTAAACACCTCAAGTACAAGTTTCAATTTCTCTTGTTTCTCACACTGGTCGACATGCCATCTTCTGTCCGATTTTTCTCCTATTTATAAGCTCCCACATGTAAATGGTGCACTTGAATATCTTAGCCATCATATCCATCCGCATGTCAGACGAAAACCTTGGCAAAATTCCTCGCAAAACATGTGTAGAAACTTTTCTCAATTTAGGCTGTCGAGTAAATCTTTCATTGCCCGAGCTGACCTTGACGAAGCATAAAGTTACTTAGGAGCATACATTTTATCAAGAAAAATGAAAAAAGAAAAAGCTGAGAAATTTTCACACTCTTACTTTTATGAAGCATAGCTTTTGATTCAGGTGGAGTTACGGGTCTCATAAGTACAATCTGAAAAACTCATCTAGAGCTTGAGGCCATTTTCGGCTTAAATCCACTTTTCGGCATGTTTAAGGCTATTTTTGCAAATTATCACTGTATCTTTTTATTATTTCGATCGTTTAATTGATTAGTAAGTTCAATTGAGAAATCAAATATTTTTCTACCTTGAAATGAAATGTATCAGATGTAAACAGTTTGGACCGGGCTTTCGGTTTTATTTGCACCCCGTAAATGGCCCAGTCCCAATCCATGAACTCTTTACTTTGTTTGTCTCCAGAGCTTTGAGTGAAATTCTTCACTTTTCCCAGGTTCAAGGAGAGGCCACATTTTGACCAGAGTCGTCTGTGATCTCGTTTTTAATTTCTCTTTCCAATACCCAACGCCAAATTTCAACACGCGTGTCGTCTCTCTCTCTCTCTCTCTCTCTCTCTCTCTCTCTCTCTCTCTCTCTCTCTCTCTGTTTCTTTCTTTTCCTTCGATATGTTCAGTCTTCCAGGAGTGACCATGCATGCAGGGGCATGGTACTGAAACCCCTCAGGATGGGCGTTACGTGAGAGACTTGTTTCCTTCCTATCACTCCAAGAAACCCCTCAAGAAACTGCTTCGAGTTCCGTCTTCGATGACCCATCTCCTCAATCTCTCTCTTCGCGCGTTGTGTTCGATCGGCCCCTGCATTTCCCGCCCTTCGAATCTTCCGAAATTCGCGTGACGGCGATCTCCCTCCAATCGAACCCCGGATTCCACCACCCACTTCGCGTTTCTTGCAAATTTTTGAGCTTCCGAATGCTCTGAGGACCCGTTATGCCTCCATTCTTGTCGACCTGTAAGTTGGTGGGATCGATCGTGACGTGCAAAAATGGGAACCTGCATTTGATTAAGCCTGCTTCGAGCTATCAACAGCTTCAGAATTGCTATCAGACGCGATGTTTGGGATGCATTGCTGGTGTGAAAGCCCCTTCTATTCACAGACCGTCTGATGCAACCACGGACCTTTGAATTCTACAGGATGATGTTAAGCCAGACCTCATAACTTAGTAATTTATCCTTTTCTTTCAGTGTCGTTTGCATGCTTTACTATTTGAAATTCCATTAGTGTTTATCTCTGATATCGTGAATGGTCAATGTGTGAATCTGTGGGTGTTATTCATTTTCGCACTAATAAGTTCTCTCCTTGTCGTCATTGCTCTAATGCGATACGTTCGTTTTTAACAAAAACAGCAAATTTTGGTGTTTCCTGTGCTTAACAGGTATTCTCCAGTGCAGTTATTTGATGTTGTTGCAGCTGTTGATTTGTATCAAGATTTGGTCCCCTGGTATCAGCGCTTGGAGATACTAAAGAGTCATCCTCATGGATCATTTGATGCAGAGCTTGACATTGGTTTCAAATTTTTAGTAAAAAGTTATGTTTCTCATGTAGAGTTGAATCATGTTTCCTTGTGTCTCTGCCTGGATGATTATGCCTGGTCAACCTACCTCCTGTTTCTTTTTATTTCTCATTTGGTCATTCCTCTGCCCCATCACTACAATAAAATTGATGGAACCTGCTCTTCTTGTATGTTGAATTCCATTGTCTAATCAAACTTTAGTTCATCGTGTTAGAGTAATTAATTATTAAACCACACCTTCATCTAACAGTTTAAACTTTTAGAACAGTTGGCAGTGGTCCCACAAAATCTCACAATCAGCATCAGGTAGGTATTGAAAGCATGGTGCTTGAGCAGCTGCGTATGTACAAATACATGAATTTGGACACTTAATGGTGTCCAACTTCAATTTGTTTGTATGTCTTCCCATTGAAATAGATTATAATATGTTCATTTTGAGATCATGACTTTGTAATGTCTTAAGGAGCCTTTTTAATGTATTCTCGACGCTATATGTCCTCTAATGTTATACTCATGACTGAAGAATGCATCTACAAATGATGGGTGCAATCGACTGTTAATGGGACCTTAATTTGGCTGGTTACTTAATGTCTCCGTTGAACTGAAAATCATCCGCCAACACTTTGATTTGACAATGGCTTCCCTTTTGGCAGGTCGCCTCCATGTTTTTCAGCGGAGTAGTCTCTAAATTTGCTGGTTCATTCAATGAACGCAGCTGTTTGATATATGGACCGGGGATCCCCGTTCAGGAAGATGCTTATGAGCAGAGGGCTTAAAAGCATGGTTCCAGGTCTCGGCACATAGGACATTGGAGGGACGTCGTTGCGTTATAAATTCTGGTGAAATTAATAAACTGACCTTCAGAGAGTTGTTTGCCTTGCGGGTCTCTCATAGTCTGTTTATAAATGTAACTGTGATTCTTCTCTTTAGATTCTTTTGGATGTTAAAAGGAGCTGTTAGCTGGTCAATGTAGGCCTCACTCTCGCAGTGTTCCTAGCAAAACATCTTTGTACCACTTTTGCTATTGCTCATCATTGATTGGTGTCGGGACTCCTTCATGCTGAATACATGAGTATGACTTCCTCCCCACTGAAAAGTTGCAATTAACTTATAATCTCCCTGCATCGGATGAAACTTCCCACACAAGATTAGGTCCCATACTGTAATAATGTTTGGAAAGCTGATATAGGACTGTACTTCTTTCCCTAGAAATCCCTTCATGTGCATGAAACAGTAACGGATTTCGGGCTTCAAATCCTTCTTAATAGACACAGTAACTACAAGTCAACCATCTGCAGACATGTGAAGCCGTTCCTTTTTTTCCTCTGGGAAGTTGGGAATGTACCATACCCAGTCGATGCTGCTGGCAAATGCATTTGCGATAGTAAGGGTAAATGTTGTAAATCTGATCCGATCACGATGTTTTCATCATCAAATTTAGGACAGAACAAGATTCTTGTTCATGATAAGTGAAAGTTTGTAGAATTTTTCTCATGATTGTGTCATGTCAAATTTAGGTCTTATTCAAACACAAAACATTTATTGAACATATAATATAATTCAAAAAGTTTACCCTATTCAAACTAGAAATCTTATACAAGAATGTATTCCAATATGTTTTTTTTGGTCAGAAAATGTATTCCAATGTTGATACATATATTAACATGTTTAAATATCCATGCATGTGTCGATCAATACGAGGTTGCATTGTATTCTTTTGTTGAAACTATGACGAAAAAGTTGTTAGTTACCGCATAATGTCTGTTGATACCTAAATTTTTCATTCAAAAGGTTTTCATTGCATGTTATAAAATCTATGAATTGAATTCAACGATATTGTCGAAATCCAATTCCTAACCAAAAGCATCATTGCCTAAAATTTTTGCATTCGCGATTCTCACGATAGCAAAAAACTAGTGGCGTCATGATTTTAGGGTTATTACCACCTAGCATCGCAAAATGAGCTTTCCCGACATTGTTGACATTCACCGGTAACTTTTTTTGTTTGTTGATTTTGCTAGTATTCTTTTTTTCTATCATTTTATAATATTCATTTATTTATTAAATATCTGCTATTAACTTTTTGTGATGATTGGATAACTTATCAATGGACACTTTAGAACAAGTTAGAAATACATAAAAAAAATTATCTAATTAGAGTTATCTCTAATTATATAATTAATCAAAAGTGTCATTTGTAATTACTATTTTAGTCATAGTTACGTACGATAATTTTTATATTTGAATCATGCAAAACCCTTGGTCAAAGTCACACCCAAATATCATAATCGATGTCCTCTTCTCACGCTCAAAATCCAACAACACTTTCGACTCCAACATGCAAAAGGATTCGGATTTGAAGAAGGCGGTCACAAAATCCAATTCTGACTTTCTATATACAGCCAGACTTCTCCGCACATCGATTTCGTCCATGTTCTGAAACTCTAAACAAATTTTAACAGATATTATGAAACGGTTTCTGCAACGCGGGGCATATGCTAGCTTAATACATATACAGAATGAGGAATGACAATCAACTGTCACCTTCTAATGAAGACACATGATTGACTCTGCATTCCGCTACACATTTTACATGTATGTTTGCACTACCATCAGCAAAGCTAAATATTTAAGACGAGAGATTAAGAAATTATCATATCACCCTCGGTAGCTCATCCTCTTCATGTAAACCCAATGCAAAGAGTTTTCGCCTAATCTTTTGCAGCTGATTTGCAACGCCGCTTATGCTCATCCGACTTCCAGGCACTTCATTGGAACAAGTGACTCCAATATTATATAACATAACCAAACACTCTTGAAATATGTCATCGCCTTCGGGACGCCAATGCTGATGACTATTGTGGTCGAAACTACTCTCCCTTTCCAGAAGCAGAGTGTGATCCGTAATTTCCAATGCTTGTTCAGGCAAAGTCGTTGCGACGAAACTATGGAGAGTCAAATTATCTCCGAATCTGTCGTCGGTGGGACTCAATCCTGTGAACATCTCTAGTAAGAGGATGCCGTAACTGTAGACGTCGCCTTCTCTCGAGACCTCGCATCCCATTACATATTCTGCCATGCATTTAGATCATAGTGCAAATGAAATTGGGAGTGCCGATCATCAGAAAGAACGTGGAGCTCATATCATTATAGTAGAAAGTAGAGAGATTACCTGGTGGAGCATAACCAATTGTCCCTCTTAGACCTACAGAGCTCATCTGATGAGCTACAGTATCAAGGGACGATCCAAGGAGGAACTTCGCTAAACCAAAGTCTCCCACATGCGCGACCATCTGAGCATCTAAGAGGACATTGCTTGGCTTTAGATCACAATGACTGATGGGAATGTGGCACTGGTGGTGAAGATAACCGAATGCAGAAGCAACATCAATAGCAATATTTATCCTTTGAATGAAATTTAGTTTTTTCGAAGGCTCGTTTCCATGAGATGGCGTTGCTTTTGGGTGTAACCACTGTTCCAGGCTTCCATTGTCCATGAAGTCATATACTATGGCCCTAAAATCATTTCCTTGATAATCAACACCCGAGCAAACTGTCAATATCTTCAAAAGATTTCGATGTCTAATGTTCTTTAGTACCTCACACTCAACTATGAAGCTCTTCAAAGCACCGCGACCCACCAAATGAAGCACTTTCACTGCAACGGCAGTCCCATTGTCCTCAAGTACCCCCTTGTAAACAGAACCAAAACTTCCAACACCAACCAGATTGGTCGAAGAAAAACCATTGGTTGCTTTTAGGAGTGTTCCATAAGATACTCTTGGACATAAAACATCAACAGAACTTGAAACCGGTTCTTGTACTTGTTTCTTCCACCAACAGAGATATAGCATAGCAAGAACAAGAGCAATTCCAAGAAGGCCACAAATAACAACAGCCGACAATCTCCATCCATGATGGACTTTTCTACTCTTGGAGCTACTGGAGATGCATTTAGGAAGCTGAAATTCTGGCAATCCACCGCAAAGCTTAGCATTTCCAATAATAGAAGTAGAGGTAGCATTCTCAAAGACTCCTTCACGCGGCAGCATGCCTTGAAAGTTATTGTAAGACAAATTCAGGACTTTCAAAGAACGAAATACCTCGAAGAACTGTGGAATCTCCCCAGAAAAATTATTGTGTGAAAGATCCAGTTCTTCAATGCCTCTTAACGATCTCATCGATTGAGGAATGGACCCGTGGAAGGAATTGCCGCCCATTCTCAATGATACCAATGCAACGCAATCACCTAAACTATTTGGAATTTCACCTCCTAACATATTTTCGGAGATGTCCAATGCGGTCAAAAATGTCAAGCTGCCTACTTCCATGGGTAGAACTCCTGTCAGACGGTTATGAGACAAGTCCAAAAGCCTTGTAAGTGATGAAATACCCATAATTTGTGGGGGTATGGTACCACTGAGATTGTTACTAGACAGATCAAGTTTGTTCAAAAAGTGGCAGTTAGATAGTGCTGAAGGGATTTGATCTTGAAAGTTGTTTCCACTCAAATATAGTGCAGTCAACTTGGTTAGATTTCCTAGAGAAGACGGGATTCTCCCTCCCAAGAAGTTATCACCTAACTCCAGCAAGGATAAATTTCGTAGGTTTCCCAAATTCGATGGGAGAAAACCTAAAAGCTTATTTCTGTCCATAAGCAATGCTTCAAGGTTCTCAAGGTTTTCAATCTGTCTAGGAATTTCTCCATATAGTATGTTCCAACTCACATCAAATATTGTGAGGGTGGTGGATAAGTTACCTATGCATTTGGGCAGCATTCCGCTGAAACTGTTCCTAAAGATAGACAATACATCTAACGTTGTGGCGTTTGTCAGTGAGCAAACGAAGTTCAAGTCATCGGGTTTTTCAAGCCCGAGCTGATTTTCGAAAATGGTGAACCATTGAAGCTCGTGCAGATTTTCCAAAGAAGGCACTTGACCTGAAAGTTTGTTCGTTGCAAGTTCAAGTACCTCTAGCTTTGAGCAATTTGATATTGACGGAGGAACCTGTCCCTCAAATAGGTTCCCGGCAATGGTAAAAAACTGAAGATTTGGAAGTGTAAAGCCCATGTATGAAGGAAGACTCCCTCGAATTTGGTTGAATCCTACATCGAAGGTAGTTAAAGAAGAGAGATTCAGAAGTCCAGTTGGAAATGGACCGGACAGTATGTTTTCTCCCACAGAAAAGTATTGTAAGTTTAGCAGGTGGCCTAGGGCTATAGGAATGCTCCCACCCAAGTAATTTTCCATAAGAGAAAGCCACTCTAGTGAAGATAAGTTCCCAATGGAGGAAGGCACACTTCCAGATAGATTATTTCTATCTAAAGAAAAAATCCGTAGATTCGATAATGAACCGACTTGTGTAGGAATTTTTCCGATTAGTTGGTTGTGTCTAAGAATGAGGCTGACAAGGTCAGAGCAAGCTGTTATGTTTTCAGGAATCTCACCCACCAATGAATTGTACTCCAGTTGTAGGATTCGTAGGTGGCTCAACCGGCTGATTTGCGGAGGGATTTCACGATCGAAACTGTTGTTTCCGAGCCGAAATTCTCTCAAGAAGCTGAGGTTCCCAATATGAGGAGAGATCGACCCATAGAGTTTCTGCGATCGCAAGTCCAGTGCCGTGATCCTTTGGTGCTTGCGACCGCATGTGACACCATACCACTGGCAGAACCCCATGCTATCATTCCATGAGCTGAGCACGCTGAGAGGATCCTCAGTTATTCCAGCCTTAAATGCGAGTAGAGAGAGTTTGTCGGTTTCGTTTGTGGTAGAGGAGACTTGGGTAAAGCACAACGCTAGAATGATACCAACTAGGAAATGGCATGATTGAAACTCTGGAAAGCTAATGCTTCGAGGTTCCATAACTTGAAAACTGAGAAGAAACAAGAGAAATTGGTACGTGCTAACTCAACTGGACATGAAGAGATTTATAAATTATAAGGAGGTGGCCCTTTTTGAGGGGGCAGCTAAGTGAAGGAGACCTGTCAACCATCAATCACGGACTTGTTGACTCTACGGAATGTGGCTCCTAATGCTCATTGCGTGAACCGCACTCTTTGATTCCATGGAACACGCATGCCTCTGAACCAAACATAACGTTAGTTCGTAGCAGGATGTTGCGTAATTCAAGTCCTATCTCGTAAGCATCACAAGTTTAAAATGTTGTATTCTTGTATATAGTACTTCGAATAACTGGTAACGATAAAGTCACGTACGAATTGAAAAGGGGCAAAAAGACAAGGGAAAGGGGCATGAACGGGCGACGCCTTGGGCTCGTTTTATATAGGTCCAGTGGACAAGCGGATATGAAAAGGAGCGACATGTGCTGAGAATGATACCTTGACCAAAATAAGAGTAATCATTCGTGTAATGAGAAGATATCAGCCATCGATCATTGACTCGTCGACTCCGCAGAAGGATTCGTAGCGCTCATTGCAAAAAATTGCAACTTTTTTTCCATGTAAGCAACAGAATGCAAAACGTATATCTCGAGGAAGTCGAGCAACTACAAAAGTGGTCCAGATGTTGGCATACACACCACAGGTCCTTTGAATTGTGCCTATACAAGTCCGTAATCGGGGATGGATGATGGACGCATCTAGATGGCTTTCCAGCTGTTCACTTGAAGTCAACCAATTCCCACAAAGTCCAGAAGTCCCCCACTTTGGAAAATGAAACTGATTATCAAGCGTGATTGATTGGCGGGTCATTCCGGAAGACTGATGATCTAGCGTGATTTCGGGGATGGATGATGGACACATCTAGACGGCTTTCCATCTATTGACTTGAAGTCAACCAATGCCCACAAAGTCCTGAAGTCTTCCACTTTGGAAAATAAGACTGATGATGAAGCGCGATTGATAAGCGGGTCATCGTCATTAACGACTATCACTTGACTAACAACAGCTTAATCAGTTAGAATCATCTCACAGTTGATTGATGAACCTGGTCATCAGGTTGAGCCAACATTGTGAGGCATGTATGTTTGTATCAGTAACAAGAAGTTATATTTCAAATCGTGAATAGTAACTTTCTAAGAGGAAAATTGACTTCTGACCTATTTATAGTTAATAATTTCTCCACGTGATTAATAACCTTCGTATAAAAATTCGGTAAGTGATTATACTAAGTGGTGAACTCAAAGTGTTGCTCTGGCAAAAACGATTTATACTAAGCCTCCGTTTGTTTTGCGGATTATGTGACATTTCTGGAAAATATTTTCTAGGAAAATGACAATATTTTCCGGTGTTTGGCTGAGACCTGAAAATGAACTGGAAAATATTTTTTGTCGTTTAGTAAGAAAAATCTCATTTGATCTTTCTAAATAGACATACATTATTCGGACGCTAGTGACTTGTGCATGGGTAGCCAAGGAACCCGGCACAGACACCGGATTCTCATGCTCGGATCCCCGACTCTCGAGCACGAGCACTGGTCTTGGGTCCATGGAAACTAAGCCCAAGAATTCGGTGGCCGTGCCTAGCTCCTTAGCACCCCTGCTCGGGTCTACAGAGACAGGGGCTAGTTATCTGCGCCTGAGCATGGGTCTACACTCGCCAGGCCTGGCTTTGATGAACCGGGGGTCCGGCATCTCGGGCACAAGCATCAGCATCAAGGTCCTAAACTCGGCCTCCATGGACCTAAGCACAGGCGCCGGGGCCCTAGGCCCAACCACGATGGACCTAGGCACGGTCGCTGGGGTCCCAAGCACATCCTCAATGGACCCGGGTCTGGGCGATGGGGACTTGGACGTGGAGGTCGGGGTCTAGGGCCCGGCCTTGATGGACCCAAATGCGAACGCCGAGGTCTATGGCCCAAACCCCATTGGACCCTGGTCTAAGCACTAAGGACTTAGTCTCGAGCATCCAGGGTTCGAGGCCCTGCCTCGATGGACCAAAGCACAGGCATCAGTGTTCCGAGCCTGGCCTCTACGGACCCAAGCGCGGCGGTCGGGGTCTCGGGCATGGCCTAGATGGACTCGGGCCGAGGCGTTGGGATTCCGAGCCTAGCACCTTGCTAAGGTCCCAGGAACGAGCGCTAGGTTTTCCATGTCCAAGGGTAGAGTTTTTGGTACACCCGATAATACCTAGTTAAATTCTAGAAAATAATTTCTGATTCTTTAAAGAGGAAATCATTTTCCTGAATTTAAGGTTTAGTATGAAAACATTTTCTATTGACTCATTTTCTAAGCTATTCAAATGCCGGAAAATGCAAAAAAATATTTTCCGCGAAACAAACGGAGCCTAAATCTTCTTTCAACATAGTAACTCTCCAAGAATGCCCGTATGTGTGCTCAACCTAATAACACTTATTCTTCAAAATAAAAATAAGTATGATATCAGATGACAACTGCGATTATCCACTTTATTCCCTAATTTATTCAACATTTTCCAAACTAACTAAAACTTTAATGTTGCGTTTAGTAGTTCGGATTTGAGTCTAGATAGGATAACAAATTATCCTATTCGGTGTTTGGTGACGTTCTCCGGATTGGATAAACCCGGATGCATCCGGATAAAATGTCTGATATGAAATCCGGCCTAGGAGGTAGGATAAGACTGGATTGGATATAAAATTTAAAAATAACTAAAAATTCATATTTTATCTTTTAACAAAGTGATAACGTAACACTTTGCATATTGCTTCGCTGGCATCGGTCACACGAGGACCATCACCAAAATTACCGATTATCGTCACTTCCGACCACGGCACGATAGCCGTTACCTCCAACCATGCCGGTCATCGTGTTCTGACGAGTAAGGGTGAAAAGGGGTCTAAAGACGATTGTTGTGCCGGGTTTGCATAAATCATCCTTTCCACCTTAATCACATACGTCCTTCACGTCGAGCCGACCTTTCACGCATGACTCACGAGCTAGCTGTTCACCTGCTGGTCGACGACAAATGGCCTGCACATCATCAGCTTCTTGGCGACCACGCTCTCAAGCGTAGAGTTCCATCTGCACCGTGGTGCGAAACCTCCTCTTGTGAGCCCATCCCTCAACGCACACCTTCTCTGATGTCACCTCTTAGCAGCTTTCTTTGGCAGTGGAGTCCGGCCGTACGACCCACGGGAAGTGCCTCTCGCTCTTCACGAGGCCGTACAAAATTTCGTGAACTTGTGTTGGTTGAGAGACATCATGCTCCCAAGGTTGACTTCCTAGAGATGTGGTGGAGAGGGTTTAAGTCTCAAGTTCAGTAGGAGGGGCAAGGATTTTCAAAGATTTTTAAAGATTTTCAATCTTATCTTTAGTTGCGGATTCTTGAAGATTTTCAAAGATTGTTTTCAAATATTCTAAATCCCATCTTAGGTTGCACTAAATATATGATAGGATTTTTTTACAACCCAGGGATATGTAGAGGATTTTAAATCCCCCTTTATCCTATCCTATCCCAATCCAAATCCAGACAATCAAACGCAGCCTAATAGTATCTATGCCTGTAACCATTATTATAAATCTATTTATGTTTTTTTTTATCGGTTGGTTACATCTAACTATGTTCTGCTCTAAGAGTTTTCGCCTACTTAAAAAGAAAAGAAGCTAACATGCAAGAAAATGTACTGAGAGAAATTACAATACTGAATATTCATTTAAGTGACCACCACAAATAAGCTTGACCATATGTTATATTAAATGATTAGTTTCTACTTTCAAAAACCCCAATAATTTTGTTCACATACAAAAAACATACATCTGTTGTCCCGAAAAATAAGGCAAAAAAAGTGCATAAGAATCTATAAAAGATATTATTCCGCCTTTGCAACATTATGTCTATAATATTAAGCCAAAATCTTATTTGAGACTCGCTCTTTCTTTCTCTTCCTAACGGATTGCATAATCCGTAAGCCTTTAATTTTATGTAACGTGACATTTTCATCATGAGATAGTTAGGGTGCGTAGCCTTTAGCAAAATGCAAAGGAATTTAGGTGAAATGAGTTTTTCAAAATACAAATAGTATTTGGTAAAGTGTATTTTAAAAACACATTAAGAAGCAACTTATTAAATTTTGTAAAGGACTTTTGCTTCTTCTTTTTTTAAATTCTTGAACCATTTGCCGGCGGAACTCAATTGCCGGCGAGCCAAATTGGCCGCCGACCAAACTCGCCTGAAGTCGCGCGACCCAGGCCTCGTCACAGGTCGGGCAACCTCAGGCTAGGCTAGCCGGTGCTTGGCTTGCCGGCAGCCAAATCTGGCCTTGCCGGTGGCCTAAACCCTCGCCAGTGACATCACATAAGGTGAGGATATTTTCGGAATTATGAAGTTGAGCGAGGGCAAAGTTGAAAGAAAAAAATTATATTTGTATTTCGAAAATGCTTAAAACTCAAAGTACCTCTGGACCTACTTGGGCTAAAGGCCTTTAGAGGTTTTTGAAAATGCAATTGCATCTTCTCGACTCTACAAAAAAAATTGTCACACGGTGTTTGCATTTACCTTAGGGATTTTGGAGGTCAAAGCCCTTTAGCAAAGCAATTCCCAAACAGAGCCTTGCACTGTATACTGCCACATTTCGATATCTGTGTAGATGGGATGCCATCTTGCATGCTCTTCAGCTTGAGAGTTGTTGATTGGGGAAGGACCATCAAGAATTTTACTCCAGAAATTGTTCAGCAGGGGAAGATGGTGATCCTTTAGCCACCAATTCTCCTACAACCTCAAATTATGGTAGAGTCATCTTCTGGAGATGAGAGTGACTCAGACATTGAATGATTCACATTCTGGGCCTGAGTTATCTCAGTATGGGATATCTTTTGAAGAATCAAATCATGTGTGTTCTTCTTAGCTACAGTCTGCACAGGGAAGGAAGAAGAACCGAACGAGCTCAATTCTCCTTCCCCATCGTGGAAGTACCAATTCAGACAGAACAAAATAAATAGTTTGGAGACTCCATTGCACAATGGGAAAAATTTGAAGGATCTGATTAAACATTTGGTATTAGTTCATAGACTTTTGGAGCTTTTTTCTCAATGATTTAGTACCAATCAAAATTGTTAAATGCTTGAGAAAGTACTTCGTGGCGATATCAAATGTTAATTCCCGTCATGATTGTTGATTTTCCCTTGTAATGCACACCTGATGACAAATTGGGTTGCCTCATCTAGGAGGAGAGAACTTGGTAAACCGTGTGTGACCAGGAATAATATGGAACTTGATAATAATGAAGACAGATACAAAAGAAAAAAAAATTCAAGGACATATTACACAAATATCTATATGTGGCAGTATACAGTCTAACTATCTCATGGTGGTGGCCGTCGATGGCCGCGTTGCCTGAATGGCAACAGCCCCTCCTTCTCCCTCCATTTGATGTTTCTTTTAAATTTTCTAATTTCATCATTTCAGGTTTTATTTATCCTAAAATTTCGAAAACAATTTGTACATTTTAATTGCCACAATAAGATGTCACATAAGATGACAAGTCAGCATTTAACGGCGGCATCAGCATCTCCATTTATGTTTTCGGCGGAAGGACTGACTCGAACAAAAAAAATCATATAGTTTAGGGACTTAATTGCATAAAAGAAAAAGTTAAGGGACCTGAGTAAACATTATTCAATAATTCAGAGATCTTCGATGCCTCTATCCCTAAATTGGTTATGCACAGTTTTTCTATTCTATTGATACTTATAAGTGTATCATATCCAATTTTTTGAACAGCGCTATTATTCTATTCACTAACAAGTTTTGCTCTCTCTATCTATTTGGAGGAGCAAAAAGACATCGAAAGCAATCGCGCATGGGACTCGTATGAATGTTAATCCACTTTCTCCACTTGTTTCGATAGTTTTGAATATGAACCCCAATACAAATATGATTGGAGATATTGATAACTAGTAGTCCACGCTGTATTCGTCTGATGACGCAATATATGACATACAGAAATTAATTTACAATATTATTAATTGATTAAGTAACATGACACTGTTTGTGCTTCAATAAATAAATATTGTTCAATTATCTAACAAAAGTAAAAAAAAAAAAACGCTCTAACATTAATCAATTGTATAAATCGAACTTTGTATCACTAGAATTCCTACATGGAAAATTTTCTCAGTACCAAAGACGAGCATCGACCCAAGGAGACGTCATTTAATGTGAACCCGCAGGTTGAACATTTTATGGTAGGTGTGAGTTCCTCATGTAAAACTTGGGGGTAGGTAGTTCGTCGCTTTCTCTCACCCTTAGTCTTTTCGGGAAAAAGAGCTTGAATTGAAATTCATATGGAACTTATCAACCCGAGCGTAACCCCAAACTTCTTTGAAAAAAGCAAATAAAGAAAGAGAAAATTCTAAAAATCCCCATGAAGAGGTGTCAATATTTCACGGTTCCTCCTAATCTCGACACGGGTTTAAAATATTTCTAAACTTGATCGCTTTGACCCAATAATCCCATAAAAAAATGTAAAAAAAGAAAACCCCAATTATTACCAACTTTGCAGATCATAAAGAAAAAGTCACGATTTCTCGAGTATAGATATAAAAAAAAAATTTGAAGATGGGAGATCAGTGCAGATGCGAGAGGAGAGCTACAAAGAGAATGTCGATTTGTGGACTAAAGCGAACTTAGCTAGGTGCTTTCTTGTGTGCGAAGGAGTACGGGATAAGGTTGATTGAGGTTTTTGTTTTTTTGTCTTCTTTCAATTCAACGGATTAAGGGTTATGGCTGTTCTTAGACCAAAGTGTCCCCGTGGAAGTTACAAAATGTACACGCGGTGAGCGCATCTTTATGAACCAGTTGTTATATTTAATCGGTAATGAGCGCAGGACTTGTTGGGTCAAAGTGATTAAGTTTAGGAGATTATACTGTCAAAATGATCAAACCCAGTTCGGTGAGTATTTTAAAATATTGTCAAGTCTAGACAAAATTGCGTAAAAAAAAGGGTTAATACCACGAAAAATTCTAAACTGGTACACTTGTGACACATTTACCCCAAACTATTTTTTTAATCATAAAAAACCCCAAACTGGTACACCTGTGATAATTTTATCCTGAACTATTTTTTTGACCACCAAAAACCCCAAACTGGTACACCTGTGACAATTTTACCCTGAACTTACCACAAAAAACCCCAAACTGGTACATATGTGACAATTTTACCATGAATTAAAATTTTAATATTATTTTTTTATTTTTTTCGAATTTTTATTTATTTTTTATTCTTTTCGTTTCTTTTTTTTTTCATCTTCAAACCCTGGCCGGTCGCCGGTCCGGCGACCGGCCAGAAGCGAAAGCCGGCGAGGGTGGCCCTCGCCGGCGTCGGGCGAGGGTCGTCCTCGCCCGCCCAGGGCAAGGGCGACCCTCGCCTGACTTAGGCGAGGGTGGCCCTTGCCAGATCCGGCGAAGGCCGCCCTCGCCGGCGTCGGGTGGCCCTCACCTAACGCCGGATCTGGCGAGGGCGACCCTCGCCTGCGTCGGGCGAGGGCCGCCCTCGCCTGAGTCGAGTGAGGGTCGCCCTTGCCCTGGGCAGGTGAGGATAGCCGTCGCCCGACGCAGGCGAGGATAGCCCTCGCTCGACGCAGGCGAGGGTCGCCCGACGCAGGCGAGGATAGCCCTCGCCCGACGCAGGCGAGGGTCACCCTCGCCAGATCCGGCGTCGGGCAAGGGCCACCCGACGCCGGCGAGGGCAGCCCTTGCCCGATACCGGCGAGGGTAGCCCTCGCCGGATTCGGCGAGGGCGGCGCTCGCCCGATACTAGCGAGGGCGGCCCTCGCCGGCTTCCGCCTTTGGCCGGTCGCCGGACCGGCGACCGGCCAGAGGTTGAAGGTGAAGGAAAAAAAAAAAGAAAAGAAAAGAAAAGAAAAAATTCAAAAAAATTCATAAAAAATAATATTAAAAATTTGTTCGGGGTAAAATTGTCACATGTGTACCAGTTTAGGGTTTTTTGTGGTATGTTTGGGGTAAAATTGTCACAGGTGTACCAGTTTGGGGTTTTTTATGGTCAAAAAAATAGTTTGGGGTAAATGTGTCATAAGTGTACCAGTTTAGGGTTTTTCGTGGTATTAACCTTAAAAAAAAGAAAAAGGGAAGTCACTTCAGGGATAATCGAATCAAAATGATGAGGTTAGAGGACATTTCGAAATAGGTTGAAGTTTAAAGTCGTTTGTCTTGCCGAAAAATACTTTCTTCATTTTTCGGTGTTTGATTGGTTTAGAAAAATAAGTCAACAAAAAATGTTTTCCTATCGAAACTTAAATTCAGAAAAATAATTTCCTCTTTAAAAGAATCGGAAAATGTTTTCCAAAATATGATTAGGTATCGGCGCTTGGACCCGAAACTCTGTGCTTGGGTACAGAAACTCCAATGTTAGTTCCTGGGTCCCAGCATTCAGGACCAGGCCTCTGATAGCCAAGCCTAGGACCACGGTGCTTGGGCCTAGGCCCCTAGCACACCTCGCCTGGGTTGAACCCCTGGTGCTCGTACTCGATGCTCCGGCGCTAGAACTCGGATTGATAAAGGCTATGCTTGCTTCCTAATGCTCTAGCTCTGGTTCCAACCCTTAAGCCCAGGTCCACAGAGACCGTACGCGGGTTCTCAACGCTCAAGCTTGGGTCCTTGGTTAATGGAACATTTATTCTTATAAAAATATTTCTTAAAAAAAACGAATTGTTAATTATTTTTTATTTTTAAAAAATCGAATTTTTTATTATTTTAAAATTTTGTTTTCTTTTCTATTTCTTTCCTTTCCTCTTCTTTTCTTTTTTCTTCTTTCCTTCTATTTTTTCCTTTTTTCTTTTCTTTCTTTTCCTTCCTCTGTCGACCACGTGCCTCGACAAAGGTCGACAGCCCAGTGACCGGCCAAGATGCAGGCCGGTGAGCTTGCCAGCCTCGATAGGCTAGCGAGCTTGAGGCTTGGCCAATCTCGGAGAACTTGCGGCTCGGCTGAGGCCATCGACGGGCTACAGGCGTTGGCTGACGAGCTCGAGCTCGAGCTTGCGCCTTGACCTCGCCTCGACCTTGACGCCTTACGACCTAGCCCTCAACGTCACATCTCGACCTCGCTGGATATGGCAAGGCTCAAGCTCGCCCGAGGCTAGCGAGCTTGAGGCTCGCCTATGGCTGTCACCAACCGGTCGCGGCAGAGGAAGGTGGAAAAAGAAAGTGAAAGAAAAGGAAAAAGAAAAAGAAAAGAGTAAAAAGAAATTTTAAAAATTCGAAATTTTTTTAAAAAATAAAAATATTAAAAAATCCGATTTTATTTTTTCCCCGAGACAGATTGAAATTATTTTCTAATGAAATTCAAACATCAAAAAACGTCTTGGATCATAGATTGCCAAATAAAGAAAAATTAACCGTATTCTTGAAAATAATTTCTTGAAAAATATATATTTTTTTAACCTGGGGAAACTTTCACAAAGGGACGCCAATTAATTGGTTCTCGGAGATTCTCCCGAAAGGAAAAGAACTTGAACATGAATATATGATTTTATGGTCTGGTCGTAGCCAAACAAGGCTCTCCTTAAACCCTACTTGCATCCCTCCCACGAAGCTCGACCCCTTCTTGTTCAAACCAGAGACATCCCCATCGTCTCCTCATTTCGAGGTACCTACATTGATCGGTCCACGAGCTCTTCACTCCATGGCCTGCGCTTCTCTATCCAAGCCTCACCGATGGAAACCAGCACTCGCCCCGCGCGTCCCCGGAGCCTCTCTGAACTCTCGGCTGCTCCGTTTCTGCAGCTCGACGGAGCAACCGACCCCCCCGGGGGCCGATCATACACCTTCGGAGAACGCTGCCCCGCGCTCGCAGCCTGAACCCAGAACCCAATCCGAAGCCTCCGACGCTGTGGGAGCTCGGGAAAGGCCGAGGCAGAGGACCCCGCGAGGTAAGTCTCGGAACCCAGAAAAGTTAGAGGACATTATATGTAGGATGATGGCTAACAGAGCCTGGACGACCCGCCTCCAGAACTCGATCCGGGTTCTGGTCCCCGAGTTCGACCATTCGCTCGTTTACAATGTCTTGCACGGGGCACGCAACTCGGAGCACGCGCTCCAGTTCTTCCGGTGGGTCGAGCGGGCCGGGCTGTTCCGGCATGACCGCGAGACCCACTTGAAGATAATCGAGATCTTGGGCAGGGCTTCCAAGCTCAATCATGCCAGGTGCATTCTCTTGGATATGCCCAAGAAGGGTGTTGAGTGGGATGAGGACTTGTTCGTCGTGATGATAGAGAGTTACGGTAAGGCGGGCATTGTTCAGGAGGCTGTGAAGATGTTTATGAAGATGAAGGAATTGGGTGTCAGTAGGAGTGTCGACAGCTATGATGCTGTGTTTAAAGTGATTCTCAGGCGCGGTCGATATATGATGGCGAAACGGCTCTTTAACGCAATGTTGAATGAAGGGATTGAGCCGACTCGTCATACTTACAATATCATGATCTGGGGGTTCTTTTTGTCTATGAGACTGCCTACTGCACTACGGTTCTTTGAGGATATGAGGAGCAGGGGTATTTCACCTGATGCGGTGACATATAATACAATGATTAACGGTTATTATAGGTTCAAAAAGATGGAAGAGGCAGAGAAGCTGTTTGTGGAGATGAAGGGAAAAGATATAGCGCCTACTGTTATAAGCTATACAACCATGATTAAAGGGTATGTTTCAGTTGGGCGTGTCGATGAAGGGTTGAGATTGCTTGACGAGATGAAGTCATATGGCATCAAGCCAAATGACGTCACCTATTCGACTCTTTTACCAGGGCTTTGTGAAGCAGAGAAAATGGCTGAAGCTCGGTCCATTTTGAAAGAAATGGTGGATAGATACTTGGCCCCCAGAGACAATGCAATATTCTTGAGATTATTGACTTGCCAGTGCAAGTCAGGTGATATGGATGCAGCTGTCGATGTACTCAAGGCCATGATTAGGTTGAGCATTCCAACAGAAGCAGGCCATTATGGTATCCTAATCGAGAACTTTTGCAAAAATAATGCATATGATAGAGCAATTAAGTTGCTTGATAAACTTATTGAGAAGGAAATCATATTGAGGCCACAGAATACTTTGGAGATGGGACCTGAAGCATATAACCCGATGATTCAATATCTTTGCAATCACGGGCAAACGGGAAAAGCTGAAATCTTTTTCCGACAGCTGATGAAAAAGGGTGTCCAAGATTCAGTGGCCTTCAACAGCATAATTTGCGGTCATTCAAAAGAAGGGAATCCTGATGCTGCTTTTGAAATCTTGAAGATAATGGATAGAAGAGGGTTTCCAAGAGATGCGGATTCTTATAAGTTGCTCATCGAGAGCTACCTAAGGAAAGGTGAACCGGCTGATGCAAAAACGGCTCTTGATAATATGATGGAAAGTGGGTACGTTCCAGATTCGTCTGTTTATAGGTCAGTGATGCAGAGTCTGTTTGAGGATGGTAGAGTTCAAACCGCGAGCAGGGTAGTGAAGAGTATGGTAGAGAAGGGGGTGCACGAGAATATGGATTTGGTCGCTAAGATTCTGGAAGCTCTCCTAATGAGAGGTCATGTTGAGGAAGCTGTTGGGAGGATCGACTTGCTAATGCAGAGCGGCTGTTCACCTGACTTCGATAATCTTCTCTCTGTGCTTTCAGAGAAAGGGAAGACAATTGCTGCTCTTAAACTGCTAGATTTTGGTTTGGAGAGAGATTGTACCATCAACTTCTCGAGTTATGATAAGGTTCTGGATGCTCTTCTAGGGTCAGGGAAGACTCTCAATGCCTATTCGATTTTATGCAAAATCATGGAGAAAGGAGGGGTTTCAGATTGGGGGAGCTGCGGTGATCTGATCAAGAGCCTTAATCAGGAGGGGTACACAAAGCAAGCAGATGTTCTGTCTAGAATGATTAAAGGAGGTGATAAAACTGGCATTTACAAGAAAGGGAAAAAACAAGCAAAGGTTGCAATTTGATTTCCATTGCCGTGCATTTTGGTCCAGTCAATTTTATTTTCTTGGTGAGGACCATTCATGCGAATGCTCCCGTTCAGTGGAAGTTTTAAGCTGCCCATCCTGAATGCTAGACTCTCACTGTTGAGTTCGTCGGAGTTCAATTCTGATCTTTAAAAATGCAACTTAGCACTGACCTTGTTTTTTACTTTTATTGCTGCTTCTTTGTGAGTTTTTTGAATAATATATTTTTGGAGCCATTTTTTTCTGATTAGGCGAAGCTTTTGGGCTTAATAGATTTGGATCATTGGACGGGTTAGTAAACTGTCTTGGTGTAAGCTTCAAGTTGCGGCTATACATTGAATTTATCCCTTTTGCACATGCAGTTACTACTTTTTGTTGTTAGCAAATCAAACTAACATAAGTGTGCTTATTTATTTCATTTTCATTCAATCAGGGTTTAACCGTGTCTCTCTCAAAATATCAGTTGAACTGTAGCATTAATTTTTTAAGAAGATTAGTGATTCTAGTAACTAGTTGATCCTCTAGTGATGCTTCAGTGCACTAATTTCTCAAGTTCAAGTAGTTTAGATTAGTTGAGCTAGGAGTGTTTTGTTGGTTGTATCTGTATCTTCATTATTGATTTGAAACCGATAGTGTTTGAGCTGGTGCCTTTCTGATCAGGCCATTGAAATATTAAGAAAAAGAGAATGCAGGAGGGGAAACAGAAAGTAGGGATGAACCCACTTAGTTGGTGCACTTTAGAAAATTGCCGCAATTCATTTATGATCTGAAGCAGATTGCCTCATATTTCTGTTCTTTAGTCAGCAAATTGGTTTTAGATAATGGATGCAGATTGTGGATCCTGTAAGATGGTCTTCCTGTTTCGTAATGCTTTTGAGTGATAACTCTCTTTCCAATTTACTTTCATTTGGATGGCGGTCCTCATGTTAATGTGAATTTTCAACTCTTGATGCAGTGTTTTTCTCATGCTCAAGCAGTGTAAGACCACTGTATGTTCTGCTTCTCTTGAGACTTAGAACCTGCAGTAGCTTGTATAAGCCTTCACATTTTGGCTGTCATGTAGAAAGAATTTTTTCCGTATGATAATATAACCTTGAACTTTTTTTTTGGGTCCTGAATGAGCTAGGAGCTCGTTCATGGGCCCAGAAAAGGCCCACTCTGGGAAGATGACCCGATAAACCCCCATATCCCAGAGATGGGAAACCGCCCCACCTCCCCATTACCAGAAGGAATGGTGGCCACTAGGGCAACCCAACCGTGACTTATTTTGATGGCCTGGCACCAATTGTAAAAATGGCATAGAAAGCTGATGCAGCATGAGTTTTTGGTGTCTTATGTCCCACTTGCTTTCGTCTTCTCATCAAACAGCATCATCTGTTGATCGCTGAGCTTGAAAACTTACCTTGCAGCTCAGTGGGAATGCTTGATTTGCGGTATACATGAGCAAAAATGTTCATCTACTTATGCCTCATCCATAATACTGCTAGGCCTTCCTTTACAGAACAATCTTATCACTCTGTTCCACTGACTCTTTTCCTTCTGATCGCTATTTTATTTAGTTTGCACATATCTGAGTTACCTCGGAGCTCTAAGTCCTTTTTGACAGGCTGACATAAATATTAGAGCCTGGTAAGAGTAGTTTGGAATCATCTTGATTGGGTCCTAACTCCTAAGGGATTAGTTGTTGTTTTTGTTGTTCACTTTTCGCTTTAGCATGGTTTTGGTCACTCATGCGATGCTTATTTAAATTTATATGACTGATCGTCCCTCTATAACTTTACTCCTAGTAAAAGCGACAATCATTCTTGCTGACACCTGTTGTTGAGGAAAACCGTGTACCATTACTAGACAAATGAACTATTCTTGCCTCAGAATGTGTACATTTATTGTCATTTGCTTGCAGTAAACAAGAACTGTCATTAGTTACTGATTCGATATCAGCATAAAACGCGTTATAGACCTTACATGGTGTACTGTATACTCGGTCATCCTTAAGGGTCTCAAATGGCACTTTGATGGAAACAGAAAATTATTGATGGTTGCGCGTATGATCTTTTCTTGTCTCTCCTTTTCTTGTGGGGATTCTAATGCTATGAATTCCTCAACAGAACGAATGTTCTTGGCTGAAGTGATTCTGTTCATCGTATTGCTCTAACTTCTCAACTGTAACATTCCATCTTTACCAGCTATCGGTATCCATGTATCGTGTATAGATTCTCCAACCAAAGCCTCTTCTTGTGTGGAGCATTGGACTTGAGTTCGTTTAAATGATGGTTCAGCAGAATGATATCTGGCTCTGCAGGGGAGTGGCTTCTCTGGAACTGGTCTACATGAATTAGAGCTGTGTTCAGTTTCATACTTTGTGAAGCACTAATCAGGATTCACAACTATTACAAGCGGCTTTATGTCTTGTTTGCAGATGTTCTGATGTGATGTTGGGTCGACTTAGAAGTTTTTTTCTGATTCTAAGACGAAAGAAAAATAGCTTTGTGCTTGCATCATTCTTTTATGAAACCAAGGTTATGCTTTGTTAGTTGCGATGGTCATCTATTTTGGTAGCTTAAAAGTCTCAAATGTCTTCTCAGTATAAATTTGCCCATGACCCATTCCGCAGATGGGTCTGGATATGCAGGGTCGACTTTGAGATCTTTTATGTACACAAGCGAGTTGTAGATGGAGCGCACAGGTTATAGCAACACAAGCCATGAGATGTTTCTTAGTTACAATTGCTGCATAACCCTTTGTGTTCTTGACGGGATTTCATATTTTGGGCGAGAGTAGTATTAGTATTTCGTATCTGGGGACTCCATTGCTGAGAGCTTCATGTTTGAAGCAATTTGATGCAACCTTTTTAGAGCCTGTGTGGTTCTCCTCTGTGTTGGTGTCTTCGACAGTTAGTACTAACTTGTAATGCCGTCCCCCACAGTGAAGCATTACATCCACACTACCAGGTACAGGACAGGATGATGCAAAATAAAAGATCTCAGTCGTACTTCACATGCAGTGCATTTTCGATCGAGTCGTTGCGTAAAATATTCGGTGAAGAACCGTTCGTATTCATTGAGCGGACCGTGGCTTTTCTATTGCCGAGCTTTCGAGACCTTGTCCCGGAGTTTGTATACATGTCTTTCTTCATTCCTTTTCCCGGTTCATGTTAGTCCGGAAGGTCGCTCGAGTGAAGATGATCTATCACTTGATGGTCCTTTCTCAGTTCTCACGTTTTTATTTACCGAGTGGGAATTATATTTCTAAGTAATGCGACTGTTTTGTTAAAGTTACGTTCAAGGCGGATTTGTTTTCAACTTCAGGAAGCAACATGGTCTTTTTGTTCTTCTCATGAAGTTTGGCTTTCTTGCATCTCTTGTCTTCTTCAAATTGTTCAATAAAGAATTCCTCTTCATTCAATTGGATTCCTGCATTGTCCGTATATATATAAATTTTTGTTCAAGTTGCTTCTTTCGGCGAAATTGTGGATAAAAAATGCTGATGTGACTGTCAAGATACCGTTAAATGCTGACATGATATTTTATGCGGCATTAAAAAAATAATAATTTAAAACTTAAAAATAACGAGAAAAGAAAATAAAAATTAAATTTCCTGCATCATCTATGAATAAGGAAGCCCGAAATCTTATCATCGCATTTTAATCGAGATTTTAGCAGCAATCAAGAAGTTTTCTCATGTAAAGATGCATTCAAAAGTTGATGGGAAACGCGAGTCTAGCATTTAACCTCGTTTAAAGTCAGTTTGGCGCCGGCCATGTAAGATATCACATGTTGCTTATAGTCCGTTTATTTCGCGAAAAATGAACGATTTGGATAATATTTTCTTTAAATTGATTGGCTATATTGCTTGGAATATTATCCAATAAAAAATATTTTCATTATTGATAATAATTTATTCCTAAATTTTTTTGTGAACAATGAAAATATTTTGAGTTAATACCACAAATGAAAAATTTACCCAAAACTAATTTTTTTGACCACAAAAAATTTCAAATTAGTACATTTGTAACAAAATTTACTCCCAAACTAATTTTGTGATCACAAAAAACCTCAAAATTAGTACACTCGTGACAAATTTATCATTCATTAGTTTTCGTTAAATTGGATTAATGGAATGAAAAATCACAAACCGGTACACCCGAAAAATCCCAAAATGGTATACACTTCAACTATCATGCACCATCCAGCTCATCAATTTGACAGTAAAATTTGACGGAAATTAATGGATCACAGATATATCAGTTTATGGTTTTTGGGATAAATTTATCACATATATACCGATTTGAAATTTTCCGTAGTATTAACTTAAATATTTTTTGCCATTCATATATATATATTAAAATATACAAAGGATCATCATGTATAAGAAAATGAGCTTTTCGTGAAAGAAAGGGACGTAAGGAGAGGCCGCGCGGGAGAGAGAAGACAACGTAGTTGGGAAGCGTGTTGTCGGCGTTCCCCTGCCTCCATCTCATCTCGTCCCCTCGCCTGCTCCGTGTCGTCCCCTCTCCAACTACTACTCTTCTCTCTCTCTCTCTCTCTCTGTGGAAAATTCTTCAATAAGAAAGGAAAAAAAATAAAATGGTACAATCCCATCTTAATTGCCCAGAATTCACTCTCCCATCACACCCACCATCTCCCCCGAAGCTGTGCAGCCGAACCAGACGACCCAGAAGAAAGCGGCGGCGGCGGCGGCGGCCATGGCGAGCGATTCGAGCGCGGCCCAGCTCAAGTCGGACGCCCTGATGGAGCAGATGAAGCAGCACCTCTCCACCGACGCCGGCGAAGCGATCGTCAAGAAGATCGGCCTCGTCTATCAGATCAACATCGCCCCTAAGGTCACTTTTCTCTCTCTCTCTCTGGGTCTCGCTCTTGCTCGTTTTCGTGCTCTTTTTCCGGGCGGATTGTGCGCGTTTCGTACCCTTTTGCTCTCGAATTCCGGTTTCTGATTCTGGGGTTGCTCGGTTTTTTTTTGGGGTCTCGCAGAAAATTGGGTTCGACGAGGTGGTCTACATCGTGGATCTGAAGAAAGGAGAGGTCACTAAAGGTTAGCGTTCCTCCTGAGTTTTTTCTTGAGGTTGGTTTGATTGCCAAGCTCCGTGGAAGATTTTCTCTACGAAAAAGAGAAGCGTGCTTTAGCATTCCTGAGATCGTTGTTTGCTGCCGTTGACTTTGGACTTTGTGGGTCTAGCTTTTGATAGAGTGTGCAATGCAATAGAGTTAAGAGTTTTCAACTTCATGGCTTTTTACTACCAGGATTGCTTGCGTGGCTGAGGTATACCGCCTCTAATCTAGTAGACCTTGACCTGGTCTATGTAGAGTTAAGTTTGCTTATTGATTGATCCTGCGAGAAAAGACACTCCCTTGATATAATTTGCCAATATGGTGTCTCTAATATCTAAGGAAGTTGGGGGTGGCAGAGAGAAACCCAAACTCACGCACCATGAGAAGTCCTTTTAAACAATGTGATGTCGCCAACTTTGAATGGACATCCAACGTTGTGATCCGTCTGTTTCACTGATTATGGTAATTGTCCGTGCTTTCATTAAGGAACTTCTGTAAACATTCCATAGTGAAGTTGCAAATGGCTATATTACAGTGTTTAAAATGTACTTATGTATATAATAAGAGCATAATTATGTGTTCTGTATCTTTATTAAGTCATGACATGGAAAAATATGGCATTTTCGCTGGATTTATTTTTCCATTTCACAGATCCACATTGGGTTTGTTAGAACAGTCAATGAACGGTTGCCTCCTTTTTTGGTAAACAAATTAGAAAAAAATTTTCTTTCTGTATCTTGCATGACTCATAGAATGAATGTTTTGCCGTTTATTTGTGTGGGAATTGGTTTTTTGCACTTAGGATTCATGTCTCAATTTACTCATGTTCTTGGTATTGAACTACAGGACCATATGAAGGTGGAAAACCTGATGCTACTTTTTCCTTCAAAGATGATGATTTTATCAAGGTTGCCACAGGAAAAATGAATCCTCAAATTGCTTTTATGAGGTACTGTATCGAGTCTTTGGATCTGGGCGGCTTCTGTTGTTTCCTCTTTGGTTTTTCGTGCTCAGTCGTGTATTTTGTGGGCTGTTGATTGATGCAGGGGAGCAATGAAGATCAAGGGAAGCCTGAGTGCAGCGCAGAAATTTACCCCTGACATATTCCCGAAGCCATCAAAGATGTGAGCAGTTCAAAAGGGTCTTCATTCCTAGGTGGTGTGTCCCCTCTCGTTTCGGTGGGTAAAGGGGGAAAAGAATTAGAAGATTATTCCAGCATCACAAAAGTGGAAGTTGTATGAACTAGTCCTTCACATGTCTGTCATGGTAATGGAGCGACATTAGTACTGAGATATGGAACTTGATGAGGGACTTTTCTTCTCCAAGTTCTTTTGCATTTGAAGCTCTGTTAATGCTTCTGTTGTTTTGCTCTCTTTTTTTTTTATACAGCACAGTCTTATGTTGATTTATTCTCTTCCTTTGAGTAGAAGTACATAATCTATTTTCCACTATCTCGATTTCGCTCAAATTGCTAATGTACTATGTAGGGCTTTTACCAACTTCTTGCGTGTTGTTCTCGAGCCACTTTTGTGTGGTTATGGGATGTTTTAAGGTGATGGGACTAAGGCATTTTCAGACTTCCTCTTGCATTTGCTTGGCTTCCGAAGAAGTATGGAGCAAATACACATCTGCTTCCGTGTGACTTTCTCGATACGTGTACTGAGTAACATTGTTTTGGCCGACTGCGTATTTTTTATGGATTTGCTGTAATCGTGAGCCGCTGCTCTTTTCATGCCTTTTTCAGCTGTACCATCAAGATTTAGCCTTCTTTTAATCACCATTTCTCTGACTTTTATGGATTGACAGGCTTCTCAATTATGTGAATAAATTACCCGGATGACGGGCATCTCGTTTTCAGGCCTGATTATTTGTCACTGAGATGATAGGGCATCTCTTGATGTATTGCCTCCACATATGTCGAGCTTGCAAGGATGTGAGGAGGACATGCGTAATTGCTTAGAGAATTGTTGCTTTGTAGAAGTTTTCCTTCGGACAAGTGACTCTCCTTTAAGTCTTCGTCCTGTAAATGCCAATTAAATCAAAATTTTAGTGCATGTGCTTTTTCTGGGTATGGTATGTTCTGTTTCCCACAGCTCTCAGACGGGTTGCGGTAGTGTAATGTGCCCGACTTTGAATCTTAAATCTTGCCAACTGGGAGAACATTGCTGGGTCATTCAGGAGTGCCGCATCACGTACGCCTAGAACAATGGACACGCCACGCAACGACATGCTCTTTGTGGCCACTGAACCCATAATACCCTATAAATTTCTCTCTTTCTATTTGGGGATGCTGTTACCATCTAATTTCTGGCTAACCCTGTTGCCTAATCCAGTTCTCTAATCGCAGGGTCTCGCTTGAAAGCGAAATGTTGAGGGATAGTGTGAAACCTTGACCGACCTCTGAGAAAGATGGGCAAAAACGAAAGCAAGAAAGGACAAATCTTTGACCAAACGAAGCTTCGCTCTCTGTTCTTTCTTTCTTGGCACGATTCTCAAGTCAATTCGAACTTCTGAAGTGGGACGCGGGTTGCGCGACGTGCCATTTACGTTGTATTGTATTCACTTCCTGTTTTCTTGGCCGGCAGACATTCTTAGCCAACCCCATCTTGGTTGCTGTTGGCCAAGTGGAATATAATGTTGGACTTTTAATCCGCGTTAGAGCCCCCCTCCTGCTTCACTTCCACGCCCGTTTCCCTAAGTTGTCCGGTTCCTTTCGATTTGTCTACAGTCTTCCTCTTCACACGCCTTGACATGTCCAGTCTAAGATGTCCATGGCATAGCCGACTGATTCCCTCCATAAGATCAGAGAACAGAAAAAGAAAGGGAGCATATGATGATGAGTTCTCGCTATCTCTTCTGGTTCTTCGTTCTCTCTGTCTCTCGCCTCGCCGGCTCAGCATCCCCAGCCTTGTTATTTCAGGTGAGATAGAGAAATCAACGTCTTGTTCCTCGCGCCGCTACAAAGTAACAGAGAAAGCAATAGTGATTCGATTTATATGCTTTGCTTGTTGAATTATATGTCTGACTGTATTTCTGAACAAAGGGGTTCAACTGGGAATCTTCGAAAAAGGAAGGGGGATGGTACAATTCGCTCAAAAACTCGGTACCGGATTTGGCCAATGCCGGAATTACGCATGTGTGGCTTCCTCCGCCGTCTCAATCCGCCGCTCCACAAGGTATATCGCCATGCCCTAACTCTTAATAACGCTCAATTTCCTTTTACAGTTGCACTTGCTTGCTGTGTAGTGATGATCGATGAATATGATAGTGATTACATGCTGAATCATCATAATTATTAGTTCTGGACTGCTTGGCCAGGATGAATTGATATTTGATACATTCGACAATCTTGGATCAAATTCAACCGTGTGGTTTCTGAGAAGAAATAGACCCTCAAAAGAAATCCTCTATATGAACATTTTGTTCCAAGGTAGAAGCTAGTCGGACTCTCATATTTTGATGAATGTCATCCCCCTTTTCACTAGGGTACTTGCCGGGACGGCTCTATGATCTCAATGCTTCCAGCTACGGGAATCAGGACGAGTTGAAGAAGCTTATTGATGCTTTCCATCAAAAGGAAATCAAATGCCTCGCCGACATAGTAATAAACCACAGGACGGCGGAAAAACAAGACAGCCGAGGAATATGGTGCATCTTCGAAGGCGGAACACCCGATGATCGTCTTGACTGGGGGCCGTCTTTTATTTGTCGCGATGATACTGAGTACTCTGATGGCACAGGGAATCTTGATACAGGGGAGGACTTCAAGCCTGCGCCTGACATAGACCACCTCAATCCGAGGGTGCAAAAGGAACTGTCTGACTGGATGAATTGGTTGAAGAGCGATATAGGATTTGACGGGTGGCGATTCGATTTCGTAAAGGGTTACGCCCCGAACATCACCAAAATCTACATGATTCAAACTTCGCCGAATTTTGCGGTGGGAGAGAAGTGGGACTCACTCTCTTATGGACAGGACGGGAAGCTCACCCCGGACCAGGATGCGCACCGCCGTGCGCTGGCAGATTGGGTCAATGCTGCAGGCGGGGCTGTCACGGCATTTGACTTCACCACAAAGGGGATCCTTCAGGCGGCCGTTGAAGGGGAGCTCTGGCGGTTAAAGGATTCAAATGGGATGCCGCCGGGATTGATCGGCCTGCAGCCAGGAAGCGCCGTGACTTTTGTCGACAATCACGACACCGGATCCACGCAAAAACTCTGGCTGTTTCCGCCTGAAAAGGTCATGCAGGGATATGCCTACATCCTCACCCATCCCGGAGTCCCATCCATTGTAATGTCCCCTTGCTCTCGTTTCATCGACTCATCTCACTTTTGTCCTGTGTCTGATAACTAATGTACTATGTTTCTGTCTGAATTTTGCCATTTACATTGTGTTTTGCTCTATTATAACCTCAGAGAAGTTCATCTATCTGAACTTATGCCATTCATTAACAAGACACATGCTGCTTGTACTATGGCACCATATGAATTTGCTGATTTCTTTTTTTCAATCCTACCTTAAGAAATGATATTTCTACTTGTGCAGTTCTATGATCACTTCTTTGACTTGGGCCTGAAGGAGGAGATTGGCAAGTTGACGGCGATAAGGGCGCGGAACGGGATTAACGAGAAGAGCAGCGTGAAGATCTTGGCTGCCGATTCTGATTTATATGTGGCCAAAATCGACGATGGAGTGATTATGAAGATAGGGCCGAAGTTTGAAGTAGGAGACCTTGTTCCTCCCAATTATCAGATTGCTACATCTGGGCAAGATTATTGTGTGTGGGAGAAGAAGTGATGCTCAGGCAAAACTCACGAAAAGTAGCAACTGAAAGAGCAATTATAGGCCACATCGCCAGAGTTAAATAAAAAATTTACAAGCGGTCTTATGCGCACCGTACGGAAATAAATGAAAGTATTTCTTTCCGCAACCCATGTTATTTATATAAGGTTAGCAAAAATTCTCGACACGACTCATTTGTATGATACGACATGACACCATACGCAATTAAACATGTTTAAATTTGGCATGAATGGGTTCGTATTGACCCATTTATAACACTTTTAAAATCATATCTTAGATTGGTTGACCTACTTAATCTGTTTAGACACGAATCAACCAACTTAGGTTAACGGGTCATTTGTTATAACATGACATAGTTAGACATGTTTTAACACGTTTAACACTCACATTTAAAGACTTTTTTTATTCTTAAAAGTTTATATGAATAACATCCAATAATTATGATAAGAAGTTTGTTCTTAAATGCTTGTCATGATACGGCATGACATGTCCAGGATTTATCGTTAACTAACCGTCATCGTATATCGATAACTATTATGGTCCTCAATAATCATCATGTCTCTTGACCATCAATAGCTCATTGATACCGAATTTGTATCGGCATCATGTCGCTTTTCAACAATCGTGTTTATTGATTTCGTTATCAACAGTTCAACATTGAGCTTCATATTAATATTATGTCGATTAAGGGAACTTGGTTATTTTTTAGTGTCGACATAATTCTTTTAAATATCGGAAAAGCCCAAGTGATCACCCTTCAAAGGTTCAAATAAAATGCCAGTTAGACTTTTGGCTTTCATACTCTACTCTAGTAGTCACTTTATCTTCAACCTGTGCCAGCATGCTCCCAATTGTGATTTTGGTCGTCAACATTTGAAGTTTCAATGACTTATCTGATTTATGTGACATCAAAACAGTATATCTTATTAAGTATTCCTTAACTCGATCAAAGGCAAATTGCTATTTTTCTCCCCAAACAAATTTTTCTTAATTTTTTTAATCGAAGTAGAGAAGAAAATGTTTCCATTTTTCCCAACAAGTTGGACATAACCTGACATTAAAAAGTTGATATTTCCTATCACCATTTGTAACTGTTTTTTACTTGTCGGTCCTGGTAATTCTAGAATGGCTTTGGCGATATTTCTATCAATTGCAATTCTTCTTTGATTAACCATAACCCAAGAAAATTACCAGCTTTTACTCCAAAAACTCATTTAAGGGGTTCCATTTTCAATTGATATTGTTTCATCCTAATAAATGCTTGTTCAAGATAGAAACTTATCTTATTAGATTTAACGATGATATCATCGATATCTTCCATAAACTTGCCGATCATGTCATGGAAGATGAAGTTTATTGCCCTTTGATACTTAACTCCAACATTCTTCAATCCAAACGACATCATTATCCATTCAAATGTACCAGTTGCTTTTGGGCATCTAAAAGCTTTCTTAGGCACATCTTCCTCGGCTATGAAAATTTTATTGTACCCTGAATGGCCATCCATCAAGGATAGCATTTCATTGCCTGATGCTGAATCGACCAACATATCAACTAT